TTTATTTCTTTTTATTTTGATTTTATTTAGTTACTATAACTATTACTTTTATACAAATTCTCTTGTTTTCGATAAAAAAATAATGATTTTGTATGGGGATAAAAAGTATTTTTAACTAGTTTAAATTATAATTTAACTTTTGTCAAAAGCATAGTTTTTACATGCTGAAGATTTAAAAATAAATAAATGTTGTAGTTGTGTAGAACCCATTCTAACCTTCGTACCTCTACAATTGTGGGATCGTGGATGGTCTGGCTGACATGTCATGCAGACCTTAAAGTTTTCCGTTCACACTCCTAAATTTTTCTATCTTTCTATATTTTGTCTGAATATTTATGACCATAATTAAAGATTTTCATAATTTTATCAATTTGTACACTCGTGAGACTGCATAACGAACTTCACTTTATCATACATATTTGGGTACATTGTGAAATAATCAAGGTCCGATCCAACAACACCTAGAAGGGGTGAATATAAATATGAAAATCAAAGATTAACGAATAATGACATGCAACAAGTCACAAATTATTATATCCAAAAGAAATTTAATGAAATTAACCCACCCTAGAACTCCATCAAGCATACAGATCAAAGCAATAAAGTAAATCAACACCTAGATTTGTTTACAAAGGAAAATTTCTTAAAGAACTTTTCAAGATATAAAAAAAACCTTTGGATACTTCTTGCTAGTAAAAGATCCAATAGAAAAGATTTGATTTACAGAATTGGTTTTGACACAACTAAATCTTAGTAATCTCTAACACCTAATTTATAATCACTGAAGAACTCCTCGGTTGTGTACGCCAGCACTAGTTTTAGGGCCTCTGGACTTCTTTTTTTTCTCGTAGATCACCAAGAATGAACTCGTTCTCAACAAACTGGAATCCCGTCACCTCTCTAGATTTTTCAGAGCTCTAAAGGCAATATTGGTAAAAGATTTGTTGGTATTTGATCTTTTGGTATTTTTGGTATTTTGATCTTGTGGTTAAGTCAAGAGAATTATGGACCACAGTCTTGACCTCCGATCGAACTACGATTATATAATCGATCTTCAACAAAGTATTGTGTTGAATGAATAGAGTCTCAACACACAGTAGTGACAAAAAATGACTTTGATATTTATAATATGAAGTATTTGGGGTTGTTTACAATTGTCAAAAACTACAAAATTGCGAACTGGGATTTTTCTATGTAACAGAACCACTCGTGCGGTCTCCAGGTGGACATCGAGCAATCCTTTTCTGCTAAAACTACTCGAGTGGTCTACCCGGTGGTCCGAAGCGACCTTAACACTTTTTTGATCTTCTTGAGTTGTCTTTGATTCCTTCAAAACACACTCTTAACCTAGACACCTCGACCCTAATTATAATTCGATTAAATGATATTTTGGACACGAAACTTGCCAATATCTTAAATCTAATACATTTTTTTATGGGCATGTTACTATATTTAAAAAACTCTTATATAAGGGGGAGATATATCATTCCATTCAACGAATACGATTACTTTAGGTTAGATGTCCGTGTGGAGGGATACACAACAGTGCAACAACGATTCCCTCTCGTCCTTTTCTTTTTAGTTTACTAATAAAAAATTGATCACGGGAGGAAAACCCATATATACAAGATTCTCAAGAGAGTAATGTTTCATTGTCTGTAGTAAACTTACCCAGAACAGCCATAGTTGTTGCTCTTTCTTTGTTTCAAATGTAAAAAGAACGTCAAGTCTGATCGACTCGACTCTTTTCCATGACCCCCGGCCTCTCACTTCGTTTTGTTCTTCTTCTATACGGTTGCTTGAATGAAGACACCCAATCCGCTGATATTTTTGAAGAATGCGTGATAAAAAAATGAGAAAAAAATTATGGATTCAAGTGTAAAATTATTTTATTGGAAGAATGTATATTTCAAAATGAGTTTAAAACAATTTTTTTAAAAGAATCTATACCAAAAAAGATTTTATTTTTTATTTTTTTTAAAAGTCCATGATAGAAATTAAAATTTTTACCAGTAGCTGAATATTCAACATTTCAACTTCTCGTCTACTCCCATGGCTCCTCGTTTTAGCTGGCGGTTGAAAACTCATGATTAGGCCAACAAACAAAAAGGTACAAAAGAACAAAAGTCCCACCTTACCCTATCCATTAGGAACCAATAGCCGTCCTAAATTTTTCTATTGGGACCCACATTTCAACTTTTAACTACTTTTCTATAATCAAATAAAAAAAATAATGTTATAATTCATGAATTTTTTAGTTGTACAAAACCTTGTTTGGTAGGGATTTTTGGGGGAATAATTGATTTTTGAATAGCGACTGATGCGAAATGTGTGGTTGAAAAAGAATAAAAATTATTGATGTGATGAAAAATATTATTTTATTGAAGAATGTGTGGTTGAAATTGAGAATTGATTTGAGAATCAATTCTCAAATCACTACCAAACACCCCCTAAATTGATAGTTGATTTTTGTAGGAGATACTTTATGGAAATTTATATATTTGTTACCATAAAAAAATGTAGAATAAATCTAAGTATACAATATTGGTTGACAACAATGGTTGACAACCATGTATTGTCAAAATCCTAGTATATGATGTAGAAAACAGTTTTTTTTTTTAAATGGATGGATATGTCGATGCCAAATAAAATGTTGTCAACCAATGTTGTACATGTAGCATGATTAAAAAACGTATTATAAGATTAAGCCTCTGTTTGGTACATATTTTGGGAGTAAGAATGCAATGTTACAGTTGATGCGATGGGGAATATGTGGTTGAAAAAGAAGAAAAAATTATTGATGTGATGAAAAATATTATTTTATTGAAGTATATGTGGTTGAAAATGAGTAGAAAAATGAGAATGAGAAAAATAATGTGGCTCAAATAGGGATTAAGTAATTGTATTCACACAACAATTTTTATTTTTTGTATCACATTTTAATTGCATTTAAAGTTCTTAAGTTTTGCTTATTATAACACTTACTTCTCTGACGATTTTTTGTGCTATTCTTATTCTCAACATTTTCATTAGTTAACATATTTGTATTTGATAATATTTTTATGTCAAAAATTATTTTTCCATCATATTTTTTAAAAATAAATAATTAAAAAGTGTAAAAAAATATTTTTCCCTTATTCAAATCATGAAAATAAAATATTGATATAAATCATCATCAATGATGTGAATGGTTAAAAATAAGAATTCGAATAAAAAAATTAGGTAAATAATTGCTACAAACGTCTTTAATTACAATTAAAATATGGTGTGCAAAATAAAAATTGTGGTGATAACATAGCCGCCCCAAGACACTTGTTACTTATCTTAGGATAATTATAGATCTTTCTTCACCAATTTTAGCCCTTGTTTGACAACAATTAAAACAGCTCTTTGCACATAAATTTAATTTTTTTTCCACTTTTTAAAAAATCACTATTTCAAAACTTTTCATGGTTGTCGAAAGGTATTTAGTGAAACTTTCTAAACCTAATTTTAATTATTTCTCAATTCTTTTTTATAAATGTCCAAACTATCTATGTTCTCAAAAATATTCTTTCAATTGAAATTGAGGAATTATTTTGCAACTTGCCTAAATAATAAGGCTTAGGAGCTCTCTGTATTTTTATTGTAGACATGTTTATTGAGTTGAATGATAGTTGAATATTTCTTGATCGAAGACTGTTCGAACAATCATCCGTGCATTAGAAAATGGGTACAGTTTTGTCTTTAGTTCTCTTTTCAACAATGCACACGGCATTCATTCAGGTCAATACAAATTTGATATATTCTAATTCGATGATATTCTTTGTGGGACTCAAATTTTATTTCATAATTTCATAGAAATTACAGTCTGTGTTCTAAAAAACGTAAAACGTGACAAAACGTAGTTATTAAGTTTCGGGCTAGGTGAGTCTACGAGTAAAAAAAACATTTTCATATTTTAATATTATTTGAAGATTTTAATCAAACTAAAAATCATTTAAAAATTAAAATAATACCTATTCAACACATAAAATTATAAAATACTATATTGAAAAAAAAAAGAAAAAAAGAAAAAAAACGAAAAAGAAAAAAATGAGACGTTTTGCGACCACTTCGCTCCTAGGTGCAACTTTTTAGAACATTGCTTACATCATAATGTGATGGATTGTTATATTCACACCACATTTTTAATAAATACACCATATTTAATTACATTAAATGTCATTATCCTTTAGTATCACACTTGTATTTTTCACCTTTTTTGTCCTATCACATTCTCATTTTTAAGGTTTCACTAATTAGAAGACTTGTCCTTCATCATAATCTTTGTTCTAAAATATTATTAACGTGCTAAAAAATGAGAATCAAATATTTAATCGCATTTTTGAAATATTATTTATATTACTTATTTTATAATATAACATGCAAACGAGTCTTTTTATACCATCTTAAAGAAACTTTTGAAGCTAAGCCATAATCAGATATAATTTACGTTAATTCGAGAATAAAAATACGATGAAAAAAGTTGAAATATAAATATGATAATATGTAAAGAATGGAACCTCTCATGCATTTAAAATGTAGTTTAATTATTAAAAAATATGGTGAGAATATATTATTGAGTCGGGTGATTATACTCACGTCATAATTTTTAACTATAATTAAAATATAATAAAAATTGTGGTGTAAGTATAATAACCCTATTTATCCCAATGTTATTCCGCGTAAAGATAGGTCAAACTTCGTTTATACGTATCGAATTGCATAAACTTTGATGCACGTCTTTTCTTTGATATATATTCTAATCATACTGTGGGCTCGCTTTCTGACCGTCCATTGTAAAGAATCAACGCGGGTGCACACAGATGTCTCGTGCTCATTGACTCACGTGATTATACCCCTAATTCTTCGGTAATACCGTCATTCTGATTTTCCACAGCCTATGGAGTCTATTATTCTCTCACAATCGAAGTATTAATCATAGGGAAAAAGCCATTTGGATTCTTCCAGGGGTAAAAATGGGAGTTCAGAGAATTGATCAAACGGCGGCGTTTAAAAGTCTGTAGACGTTTAGTTGAACCAACAACCACCACTTTCCTACCAAGTTCACACTTCATTCCTTGCTTCTACCATTAAAAATTCAATTATTAGTTATTATCTATTTCCTAATTCACACTACTTTTTAAAATTCAATCTCATCATTCGAGTTCCCATACGCCGCCGGAACGATCTTGTATGATTACCGATGTCTTAATTAACTGTTTCTCTTTTTGTCGATCTCTCGTTAGTCAAATTATCTATTCTTATCTCTCGAAATGATTGTCGATTTTGACAATTTATATTTATTTCTTAATTCTGTACGTTTTCTAAAATTCTATCTCGTTATTCGAGTCACCATATAAATGTTCGAAATGACTTGTTAATTATCGACATCTTAACCAACTCTAACGAAAGGCTTCACTCGGACTTTTTTTTTCATTCCGTTCATTGTTATTGTGTTGGTTCCTTTGCCACCGAAAAGATCGTCGAAATTTGCAGTTAATATATTTATCTTTTGATTCGACGGACTTTTCAAAATTATTTTTTTCGAATTTATAATTTAATGAATTTTAGGGTGCTGAGGGTGTGAATGAAATATAAAAACTAAACTATCCACTCTGCTCTTTTCTTTTTGGTTTCCGGTTTACCAAAGCCAAACCTGTTTGGATTTCGTTCACTGTTCCTTTCTCTCTCTCTAAAAATTCTCTCTCTAAGAAAATTCTCTATCTCTCTCTATACATACAAAACTTTATCTCTACATCCCGCCGGAAAATCGCCGGGAAACTACTATTCCGCTGGAGAACAGTGTTTCAGAAGAATTGAACGGCTTCTTGAAGGGAACAGTTCACTTTGTCTTATTAGTTTATGATTAGGCTGGTGGAATCGTCCGATCTCTGAGTTTGACTCGGTCCGAGGAGTTGCAGTGAGAATGTGGAAAGCCTAAGACAATCTTCGTGGCTTTTGGAGCCCTGGATCGTGGGCTGGGGCGTTTTTATTGATTTAAGGCTTTTTATTGTGCGTTTTTTTGCAGGAAAGAAGTTAGAGAAGACGGAGGTTACCAGCGAAGAGTTTCAGTATGAGATGGTACGCGTATACTGTAGTAATCATTATACGTTTATATTATAAATCTGGTTTTTCGTCTAATGTAATTTCTGATAGGTAAATTGTTGATTTTCATCGTTTGGATCTCGAACGGTCTATGGTTTGGTTGAAATTGATGGGTATCTTGTTTTGTCAAAGCAGTTATCTATTTGGCGTTTTTATTCGTATGTGAGAAACACCAAAAAGTTTATGTTCATCGTGTATATTAATATATAACTGCATTATTGCTACTGTAGATTTGGAAAAATTGGCTATAAACAAATATTATTTTGGTGCCTGGATTTTTATTTTTCGTTTTTCCTCTTGGAATGGCAATTTTTTTCGCTATCCCTACTCTTCGAAAAAACCTACATTTTTTATTTGTAATTTAAGTGAACACTTAAATATATATATATATATGTGAGCGTTGGGTTAATTTAGGAAAACTTTTAGGATGTCATGATTTGGTTTATTTAATATATATGCCATGGTTTCCAGAATTTCAGTTATATTTTTGGTCACCCATGGCAGATTGGCTATTCTGAAATTACGATTTCTTGGATTGCTTCATATTTTGAGTTTTACCATTTTCTTTCTGTGAAATTGGGATTTTGTTTTAATTGATGGAGGAGAAGGTGGCTTTCAAATACAACCCACTTAATTTTCTTAGCAGCCTTCAGTAGATTCTCATCTCCAATCTGAGCCTACATTATTGTGTATCTAATGAAAGGAATGAAATGGTTATGCATTTTTCTTTGTCCTACAATGTTTTTTTCTGTAACATGGAAGATATTCTTGTGTGTGTAAATAATCGTTTTGATCATATTGTAGAGATTAGTGTTTTAATGTCTGCTATATAGCAAGTTGTTTAAGAATCTGAGTCCCATGCTTGGAATTCGGTGCAACTCGTCATGTCTACTGTCGCATTTAATGAGAGGATGATATTTCCAGTATCTAGAAATCAACGGAGGAGTCTAATCTTTCCTATTTTTAATATTTCTTTGTTTCTGTATCTTTTGAGCGACAAAGTTCCCTAAATTTATCTCTCTATTTTATTGCCTGTTTGCTGTTTTTCACATGACAGTTTATGCAAGGGTTTTAATTTCTGGCAATCTAGATACAGATTCGTTTATTTTTTTATTAGTCTCTTAGTCATTTGTCTAGCCTTGAGAAGAGTTAGAAAGGACTGAGTTGATGCTTTTGAATATATTATTATTTGATCTTCACCTCCAAGTTCCATATGTTCTACTATTTTGGAAGGTGGAAGGAAGGACTTCTTCATCGAGGGAAGATAAATTGGAATTTTTGAATCGTAAAATGCTACAGCGGATGAAAGCAGATACTTTATATGATTCCATCTGTGTCAGAAACATGATGAGTAGAAGTGGGGGAGATTCTTTAAGAACTTCCGCACCATGTGGTGTGAGGTTACATGCAAATGTAGATATTTATTCAGTATCTGGGGCTGCTTCAAGTGATAAAGATGTTTTTTCGAAGCGCAAAGTTGCGAAGTTTGACACTTCTGATCTTGAATGGACTGACAAAATTTCAGAGTGTCCAATATACTACCCGACTAAAGAGGAGTTTGAAGATCCTTTAGTTTATCTGCAAAAGATAGCTTCAGAAGCATCAAAATATGGTAAATGTCCCCTTCTGTTATGTTATAGGTTGAATAGAGTCACTCTGGATGGAATATTTTACTCGTCAACAGATAGCGTTCACTGATCTGTGTTAGTTTGATGGCAATCACATTGTACTTACATTTTTTAAGTGTATTATGGCATTATTTTTTCATGGCAATCGCATTGTACTTACATTTTTTAAGTGCATTATGGCATTATTTTTTCCTGTTTATAAATTTATCATGGCATTATTTTTTCCTGTTTATGAAATTATCCACGGTATATTTGTATAATTTAGTCGCCTGTTTGACCTTTTACTGGTCTGGTATAGCAGCATTGGTAACATGCATCAATGTTCCTCTATGTCTATTCATCATCCTTGTCACTTTGCTTGTTATTTGTTTACCTCGACCTTTCACCTTGGGAGTTTGTGGCTTACTTATACTGAAGGCACTCTAACCGAAATTCTGATTTAAACATTTAGGCATTTGCAAGATTGTTTCCCCTGTACTTGCATCTGTTCCTGCTGGTGTGGTTCTCATGAAAGAAAAAGCTGGTTTCAAATTTACAACTCGGGTACAACCTCTTCGTTTGGCTGAATGGGATACCGATGACAAGGTCACCTTTTTCATGAGCGGAAGGTCAGTTTTTTCTTCTATTGCTTAATATATGCTGCAAACAAAATTTTCAATTCTGGTTTTGAGCTTGACCGTTTTCTTTTTTCAGAAACTATACATTACGAGATTTCGAGAAAATGGCGAACAAGGAATTTGCTCGTAGATATCATAGTGCTGGAGGCCTTCCTTCAACTTACTTGGAGAAAGAATTTTGGCAAGAAATAGCTTGTGGAAAGACAGAAAGTGTTGAATATGCATGTGATGTTGATGGTAGCGCATTTTCATCTTCTCCAAACGATCCACTTGGAAAAAGCAAATGGAATCTGAAGGTGTTTATCTCAGAACTATTTTTTTACTCTTTTGTTCTTATAGACAATAATGCTTCTTACCAAACACAATGGGTACATTTCTCGTCAGTGGATGTCCGTTCTTGATTGTTCTCCTAATTTTACCGCTCATAGGACTCTTTTTCTAATCCAGTTGTGTTTTGTCTGATATTATTAATTTTGGTGGTTAATCCAGTGCCTATTTTCTCCTCTATTCTGCTTCTATAAATGATTTTGGAATGTGTTCTAAGATTTTCAAGTCTCGAGAGTTCCTTCTCGAGTGCATTTGGCTGCGATTCCTTAAGTTTCTCCCATCAGTAATCTGTCTCTCCACATTTTTCTTTTTGCTTTTTACAGCTTCTTATCTTATTTTCTCATTTTAATCTTCACTCCTGCCTTGAGGGATTAAATTTGTGTGTATTTAATTTATTGTACACTTCTCTAGTTTTATATGGATTACCTATGTCATATCAGCTGCCCCAACCCAAAAATGAAAAAGAAAGGGGAAAACAAATTATGTGTAACATATTTTTTTTTATTGGTTTCAGAAACTTTCTCGGCTCCCTAAATCTATTTTACGTCTTCTAGATACAGCAATCCCGGTAATGAGCTGATTCTTATATCCTTTGGAACTTTCTAATTTCATGTTTCCCTAGTGCTGAACAGATATTTGGTTTGCCTCAGGGAGTTACTGAGCCTATGCTTTACATGGGAATGCTGTTTAGCATGTTTGCTTGGCATGTGGAAGATCATTACCTGTATAGGTATGTGCCATTATGTACTTGAATATACACGTTTTAGCTTTTCAGTGTAGTGATTGATGTACTTGCTATTCACATCCATGTGCAGCATCAATTATCATCACTGTGGGGCAGCAAAAACTTGGTATGGCATTCCTGGCCATGCAGCTTTGGATTTTGAAAAGGTTGTAAGGGAGCATGTGTACACTCACGATATCTTATCTGCAAATGAAGAAGATGGTGCTTTTGACATGCTTTTGGGGAAAACAACTTTGTTTCCTCCTAAAATTTTGTTGGATCACGATGTTCCAGTTTTCAAAGCTGTACAGAAGCCTGGGGAATTTGTAATAACTTTCCCTAGAGCATATCATGCTGGATTTAGTCATGGTATGAGAAATAATTTCCATATGTTCCGTTATTTTTTAACCAAGTTTTTATGCCTTTGAATGCTTCCCTTTCGTCCTCAAGTCTTTTATAAAGTTGTTGGTCTGTTGTATCTCACAGGTTTTAATTGTGGGGAAGCTGTCAACTTTGCAACTGGTGATTGGTTTCCCTTGGGATCCATTGCTAGTCGCCGCTATGCTCTACTTAATAGGATGCCTGTCCTTCCTCAAGAGGAGCTTCTTTGCAAAGAAGCAATGCAGCTTTATACAAATCTGGAACTTGAAGACCCAGATTATTCATCTGTGGATTTGATTTCCCAGAATAGTATTAAATTTTCATTTGTAAATTTGATTCGTTTTCAGCATCGTGCTCGTTGGAGTCTAATGAAATGGAAAGCTTGTACATATGTTTCTTTTATTAGCCATGGAACAATTCTTTGCAGCATGTGCAAACGGGATTGTTATGTAGCATATGTGAATTGCAATTGCTACTCACATCCGGTGTGCCTTCGCCATGGTAATTCCATTCCCAGTGCTACTATCTGGATGTTTTTATTGATATCTTCTCCTTGTATATTTAGCATCTTACTCATCTTGGTCTCCGGATATTCATACCAGATATAAAGTCTCTAGATTTACCCTGTGGAGGCAATCCAAGACTTTGTGTGAGGGAAGATATCTTAGATTTGGAAGCAGCAGCTAGGCGGTTTGAGCAGGAGGATATACGATATGAGATTCAACAAGGTAGAAATGGTGAGGACTCAGTTCAGCTAGCAAACATGTTCTCGAGAGCTGAAAATGATGGTTATCTCCCTTACTGTGATATTAATCTGGAGTTTAATGAGGAAATTCCCCAATCTGAGAACCAAATACAGCAGCAGACATACAGTTTTCCCTGTCGGTCTACCCTGTTCACTGGCGCAGAGAATATAAAGACTGAAACTTCAGATGCTTCCATTTTGGGTTCTTTATCTTCATCAAACCTCGGTATCGTTGCAGAGTCAAGTCAAAGTTTTTACGGAACTGGCAGTGTAAGATTTATTTTCATTTCCATGATGCTTTCTCCATTGTTATGACATTATATAAATACCTCTGCTTCAGACAGGATAAAAATGATTATTAGTATGTTATCCTAGTCAATTCATGATTTCTATGTTATCCTGCAGGTTCAAGGGAATATTAACTTTGGAAATCTTGCATCGACAATGTCTTCTAGAGATTGCTTTACTCGTGTTCGTGAAGTTTCACAATCCTCTGCTAGTGAATATGCTAGTTCCCAGAAGAAGGGTATTCAGAAGACAGATTTCGGAACTAGTAATGAAGAAAGTGATGAGTCTGATTTTGAAATATTCAGGGTTAAGCGGCGTTCTTCCACCAAAGCAGAACAAAGAAATGCACAGAACCCTGTCTCTGTTAATTTTGAACATCAGGTACAGCATACTAAATATATGTTTTGCTTGTAAAGGTTACTTTTCAAATTTATGACCTCAAAAATGAGTGGCAAATTCTATTTACTTGTTTGCTTATGTACAACTTGTAAAAGCTGCCCCCCTCTTCAAATATGAGATCAAATGAAAAGGAAAGAAATGTACTACGAAAAGCACATTTTGTTATTTCCATTATTGAAAGCTAATGTGCCCAAGTAAGAAAACACTAGCTGAAGTTCTTTGCCTGCATTATCTTTTAAATTCTGTTGTTTCTGTTTAGCTTGCATTGTAAATATAAGTTCTTGAAGCTGTATCCATGCTGATTGTGAAAGGTAAGCTGGTGCCCTAAATAAGGAAACACTTTCTGAAATTCTTTACCTGCATTATCTTTTAGACTCCATTATTTCTGTTTAGCTTGAATTGTAACCACAAACTCTTGAAGCTTGTATGTATCCATATAGCTTTAATTTTTCTTCAAATTCTGTTCCTTTTGATCATCAATCTTTTGCTCGAGTGTTATCTGTCCCCCACATATTGCATCTCACTAGAACTCCTGAAGTTACTGGAGAGAATTACAGTTGGGAAAGAAAAACTACTCTTATCTCATTACCCACAAGGTTAAGATTGACTAAGCCGTAATAAATGAGGGACCTATGGTAAGCATTAAAACTGAGGGCTACTACTGGTGGTACAGAACTTTTTATTACCATACTGAATTTTTTCTGCCGTGATCTGATGATACATTTGGTTTGGTAAATGCATTGAAATGTTTCCTCATAAAGATGATGAACTAACTAAAAGGCACTCGGTCTGTTGGTAAGCAAATAATTTGTGGATTTTACTGTCAGCATAAAGGACGCATGACATAAATTTAAAATCATAAAATCTTGGGTTATGCTCCCGAATTTTGCTATTATACTTCTTTACAGCTGATCTTCTTTGTCACATCTAGTATAATATTTCATTTATCCTTCCAGTGATTATTTTTGAGTGAACTGTTCAATCCAAATTAAAATCATAAAATCTTGGGTTATGCTCCCGAATTTTGCTATTATACTTCTTTACAGCTGATCTTCTTTGTCACATCTAGTATAAGATTTCATTTATCCTTCCAGTGATTATTTTTGAGTGAACTGTTCAATCCATTTGGATTTTAGCTATGCTAATCTGTTTGTTTTATTGTCTCAGGGTTTTAAGAGGCTAAAGAAACACCAACTTGGACGGTATGGGCAGTTAACATCAGCTGATTGTTCAACAGCTGAAGATCTGAGCCGTGACTTGAGTCGTAATTCAACTCAATTAAAAGAAGCCTCACATGGTGCTTCGAGGGACAAGTTAGCCAGAGGAAGTGGCATTCCCATCTCCATTAAGTTTAAGAAAACGGCAAATGAGGAAGCAACAAGTAAACATGGAGAAGTGCACAGAAATGATAGATTCCAGCATGAGTTAAGCAAAAACACGAGGGAACCTCCCTCAATAGAGCTTGCTGCGAAGCGACTCAAAGTCAGAGGTCCATCATTTTTAGATGGCAAATTGAACTGAATTTAGGCGAAGGGCAGACTGCCTCTGGAGCATCTTCTTCAGCCTGACATAGCTGACATCTTATTCATTTATTGGGGGATCTAACAACAGGGAAAAGCTAGAAATTTCTTTCCCGGGAGCAGCAAATGATGAAAACTAACCAACATTTTAGATTAAAGAAGCCATTCTTTGTGCAGGGCTCGAAATGTGGGCAATTTGCACGGTGATAACTCATTGATTCTCAGGCTGGGTTGTTTTTGCCTCAGTGGCAGGAGAACCTTTCTCCGTGCTGCACCAGATAGTAGGTTTTTAGGTTAGTTTTGTTGATTGACATTAGTTGTTCTTAACAGCTGATTGCCATTGGCGTCTCATTAATGTCAAAGTCTGCTGCTTCCCGTGGGTAGGGTTCATTATTCTTTTTGTGCATCTGCACCTTGATAATACTACACACGAATAAATTCAAATATTTTCTTCTTTTCCTTGTTCGAAGTTTATTTTTTTTACATTTGTATTTTTCTTTGCTCGAATAACTATATTGTCATGTTCGGTTGAACTGGACAATAAGAAAAAAAGAAAAGAAATTAAAATATTGTTATTGTGTGTCAAGAGCTGACTTTGAGTCTCACAGAGGATGTGGCTTCCCGTGGTTTAAGGCTAAGTTTTCTCAATCTTTAGTCTCGGGCTCCTACTAGAGTTAGATTGAACGTTTCACTTTGTTACACTTATGGTCAGGACATTCACAATTCACCTAATCATTGTGTTCGTGTTCATCTAGGTTCGAGCTACCATGTCACTTGTGCCTTTGCTGTTGGTTTCGACTAGCTGGTTATGAAATTAGTAGATGAGCCTGTCACGAGGGATTTATTTGAGATTTAGATTCTGAAGTCTATTATTTCAAAACTGTACTTAGTTCTTTGCATGTGCAGGAAGAAACAAGTTAATTTCTTATTAAATTTTGTGTTCTTGTCCTACGTTGTTCAGAAATAGTTAGATCCATTTTAGAATTTTAGTTCAAGAGCTGATTTTCATATAAAAGTTTTCGCAAGTGGGCTAAAATTCTTAGTAGTGGGCTACGCCAGTGTTAGATACCTCAAACCCAACTTACAAAAATATCCTTAAAATTAGAAATCTTTAAAAAATCATATAAAAAGTATTTTGAAAGTAAAAAATACTATTTAAAATTAAGTGTCACTTTTTATTAAAAAGTGAAAAGTGACACAATGTAACTATTTTAAGCCAAGTGTCATTTTTTCACTTTAATTAAAAAGTGATGTTTGTCGTTAAAAAAATGACAATTTTTTTTAAAAAAGTAAAAAACATTGTGTAAAACTAAGTGATACAACGTTACTTTTTTTTATTTAAAAAAGTGATGTAATGTCACTTTTTTATTAAAAATGACATATAATGTCACTTTTATTAAAAAAATTATATTTGTTACTCAAAAGTAACAGAAGTTTTTAAAAAGTGATCGAATTCAAAAAAGTGACACACTACAAAAGTGACAGAAATTTTAAAAAGTTACAAACACTAACAAAAAGTAACGAAAATTCAATAAAGTAATGAAACACAAATTAAAACATTGGAATCAATTTAATAAAATGTCACAAATAAATAAAAAAAAGTGACACAATCACCGTCCCTCCTCTTTCTCCGTTCAGTGCCAAACATTGTTGAGTCAATTCACTGCCACCGTCATCTACCAACTCAATCAACCCATTGACCTCGACTTAAGTCAATCTTATTTGAACTCGATGCTCAATCAAGAAAGAATGAAATTTAGTACTAGAAACAAATTGTTTAAATGATTTTTGTTTCCGTGGCATTAAATATGGAAGGAAGCAATTCAATTGACTTAAGTTAAAAAAAAAAAAAAATACAAAAATTCAAGATACCAACAAACATCAGTCAAAATATTAGAATATATTTAAGGGCGGTTGATCTTCCTTTACATGTTGTGTAATTATGATTCACTTGTATTAACTAAACATATAATATAGCTTTATTTTAGTAACATACAATCTATAATCTGACAAAAATTATAAAAGAGTGACAAATAATAATAGTGATAAACATCCATTCTATTTCGTTATGTCATTGCTGATACCACTCGCTTGGACCCTTGTTTGTTTAGAAGTCTTGTATTCAAAAATGGCAGAGATAAAGAATCTTCAAAAGCCCCATACCATCATGATCTCGTTCCATCTACTAGGCCACATAATCCCCTTTGTCGATCTATTCATTAAACTTGCTTCAAAGGACATCACCATCCCTTTTTTTTTTTCACCTCGAATTCATTTATAACCAGATTATCAAATCTCAATACAATTCCACTCAAGTCGACATTTTGAGTGAAGTAAGAAATTCTGGGGTTGACATCCATTACACAATAATCATCGATGGTTCCCTGGTTGAATTCGATCGGTCTGGGAACTTAGACCAGTGTGCAGAATCCTTTTTACTTGATTTCCCAAATCTAGTAGATGAATTTGTAGGGAAAAATTCCATTCTCATTCATCATCTTCTTATATGTGTTTGGCCTGCAAAAATTGCTCGAAAGTATAATATATGTGTTGGTAATATATGTGTTTGGCCTGCAAAAATTGCTCGAAAGTATAATATGGTGAATGTTTTGTTCTAGATTGAACCAACACTTGTATTTTCTTTCTATTATCATTTAGATCTTCTGATGAAAAATGGCCATGCCCTAGCTAATGGTTTACCGAAAAACATAAATTATATACATGAAATTCACTACATTAATACAAAAGATTTTGTCTGATCTTCAGGAGTTCGAGTCAACTATTACATTTAAATGAGAAAATATCCATCTCTTACACTGCTATTTGAAATTATTGTGGCTGGATTATAGACACGGACACATCATTCTTGATCCCCAAATGAGCCATAATCCACAAATATCTTGTACAACTGTGGAGTCCAACACAAGTTGTGGTCACTTCAACATTCGATCCGGCTTGTCCATCAGTATTCTACGGTATCATCGGTGGTGGCGCCGCAATGGTCACCGTACTTCTCCTATTAGAAGCCTGTGACAGACGGACGTGACTGGATTTCATATATCAAGGCCGATGTGTATTATTCTAGAGGAAGATGAGAGATGAATGCAGAAAAGAGAGGGGAAAATGGGAAATAATATAGGGTTCATTTTGTTTTCAGCTAAAATTAATGTAAAATTACGGTATTTTATACTTTGTAATTCTTTTTCACCTGATTTTTCAGAAGTGTTTTATATTTAGAGTACATAGTCTTTTTTAATTTTTCATTTCAATAATCATCACCAAAATTTTCTTTCAAAAATCATGGACGCCTCTCATCCTCCACCCCCACTCCCACTCCCACCTCCACTCATTCAAAAATACGTGACTATGCCCTTGTTTGAGCTTCATTTTAATGAGGTTTTCGAAAAAATATATTTTGGAATAATAATCTGGAAAAAATACACAACTACTAGTCTAAGAATCACATTTCATAATTAACAATTTTATAAAATAGTTTCAAAAATCAAGAGATAAATCTTATATATATGTTGAGACTCACCAAATTTTATCCACCAATGAATTAATATGATATGTCACCGGTACTTAAAATAAAATGAGCTAGGTGCTCATTAGATCATTTCTAATGCTTGTATATATATCCACCCCCACCCACAAATCCATTCATCGTATATCAATCTCATGGCAACCCCCACCTACCCTATATACTTCAAAATTGAAGTCGGTACCCATAGTGGTGGATCCAGCATCCGACAAGCACCAGACTTGAAATTCTTACACGTTAAATATTATTAGATAGGTAGATAATGCACATTTACACTTGCAATTCGAACTACGATATAATTATTTTCAATTCACGGTATTGATTATTATTGCGGACGTCAATGATCAATGACCTCCCGTGCTCACTCAAAATTTTGTATCCGTCACTAGGTGCTCACTCTCTCTTTCACAATTTTCCACCATCCCATATTCTTCAAAATTGAAATCTGTATCCACTTTCTCTTTTACCATTTTCCCCCACCCCACCCCAATCTCATCCACCCATATTTTTTAAACTATAGATCCTAATTAATCATATTTACACATAAAAATGTTAGTATTTTCACATTTATCGATCTGTCAATACAACAAGTGAAAATGGGAAGGACGGTGTAGGATACCCTAGAAACGACATCATACTTCGTGAAGGACGGGATGATGGAAACATGGGTTTGGAAAATTTGGTTGAGTAGGGAAGGGTAAGAGACGACGAGGTGGAAATCGATGTAGAATGGGGAGAAGATGCCGAATTTAAGCTTGAAGTTGCTGAACTTTACGATGGCAATGTCGTGGAGTTGGAGGATTAAAGACTCCATTGTTTTCTACGACGATGGGTGACTAGATAGTATACTGATTCCTATTTTTATACAAGAATTAGTGGGTAATGAAATACACCTATGTTATCTTAATTGTATGTTCACTATGACCCTCTGTGATCAAGTCTTTATTAATTGTGATAGTTTGTGATCAAATATGTCTTCATTGTGATTGTTTGGGACCTTATTTGTCTTAACTATGACTGTATCTTGCCAAATTAACAGTGACTTGGTCAAATACAATCACAATTAAAGACTAATATTGTCATCGACAGTCACAATGAAGACAAATTTGATCAGAGATATTACAGGCCTGTTATAAATAATATCATACACTGATCTGATGACAAACAGACACTGTTAAAAGAACATGTTAACATACAGTACAAAACACACAGTCATGCTGAGATTTTATGAAATATACCAAGAAAACCTCCACCTTCCCCTCCATACTACCAATTGATTTGTTAAACGTAAAACTCTACCGTCGTCGATGCCATCCAAGTCGGCCACCACCTCAAATCTACCACATCTCTCATCAACTCTACCTCAAATCCACCTCAGATCCATGTCACCTTTGAGACTTTTGAGTTAGATCTATTGTTGGAAGGATTGAATTTAAAATGGTGCTTCCTGTTCTAGAGAG